GTTTCTATGACCTAGCCCTGAGAGCATCCTGAAAAGAAGTCAAATGCCTGCCCTTCGGCAGTTTGCAGCTCAGGTGAAAAACTAGGTTTTACACAAGTTTCACTCCAGGAGGAAAATCATGTGTGCATATGTGCCGGACACTACACAAGTAGCTCTTCAGCGGCCCCGCTTGGTGCCTTCATAAATCTATAGCATATTTATTGAGCACTTACGGGCACCCTACACTGCAGCCATCACAAAAGAAGGTTAAGTCCTGGCTTCAGTGGTTTGAAATATAAGACATTCCCAGATAAAATAATGGATTACACAAAAGGTGGCCTAACTAAGCATTATGAATATGTGGTTCATGCTATCTCAGAAAAAGAAAATCAGAGAGCTCATTAAATAGGCAACTTGGAAATGAGTAGGGTGAGAGAAGGATAAAGGAAGGAAACTTACAACAAGCAGAGAAGGAGGCAGTGGTCAAGAGGAAAAAGACCATTTAATTTTGAGGATCAGAATTCATGGAGCCCTACTGTTACCTGGAATCCAGCAGGGTCATCTTCCACCCTTTAGTGTTGTTTCCAACAGGGCTTCTCTGAACAAAAGCTCTTTGCCATGAATCAGCTGCTTCATTCTTTCACTATCGTCAAATGTAACTAGATTTTTTCATCAGATTGAAAACCAGCAATTATTTTGGAGGACAGGACTGACCACAATAGTGCCTTCAATAACCATAACATGCATCTTGGGTGGGCTGTGTAAAGGATTTGGCACATAATGCTTTATTTTGTAGTAGCCCACAGATATGTGTCATCCCCACTGAACTGGTGAGGAAAACTGGGGCTTAGAAATGTTGTAGAACACTCAAATTCACACCACTGTAAGTGATATAGTGAAGTTCCCGAATGTTTTTAAGAAGTGTATTCTGGCAGGGATATGACTTCCTGGGGTGAGGAACCCAGCTTAGAGTCTTCTGGGTGGGAGGAGGTGAACCACAAATAGGTCATTGCAAGCAGGATATGCGGAGGGAGTAGATGGAAAATGTTCAAATTCCATATTCGGTGATGCTAGGTGACAACTACAGTGAATCAGAGAAAGAGTGAATTCAAGGATGACTGCCTTCAAGGGTTGGCATCTAAGAGAAATGGGATCGCTGGGAAGTAAACATAGATTGACAGGGAAATACATCATTCAGCTTTAAGCATGTAAATTTGGAAAAGAATAGAAGACTTAGATTGAGATGGCAATATGTCCCAATGTGGGTGTGAGATCAGGCTGAGGTTGGAGCTTCTTACAGGGACAGGAATGAGGAGCTCATGCTGTTCCAGAGAAAGAATCTTCTGAGAAAAGCAGCAGATTTGCCAAGAAATAAAACAAACCTTCGCCTTGTGCCTGCTGCACATTGCCGTGCTTTGCCAGCCTCCTTTCCAGGTGTTACAGAAAACCGGAGTAAATCAAGCAATGCTCGGAGAGTTTGGAGTCACACTTTATTCACCGCGGTGGGCTCAGAGAAAATGAATTAGAATTCTAAGCAAGGCTACAGGCAGAACTTTCCTTTTTATTAAATAAACAGCCCTATGAGTGCTTAGTGGTTATCTCGCTGGTGGCCTTGAAAACAACACAGTTCTATCCAATTAAAAAATGCAGCTGGCATGTCATGACAATATAAGTGTATCTAGTCTCTGGCCTACAAGGTCAGACAGCTAAGTTTATCTTCCTCATTATTCAAGCAGGCTAGAAAGCAAACTTATTTTTTTAAAGAATAAGATGCTGTCATAAAAAAAAAAATAGAGAATTTCAAACAGCAGTTTTATAAAATAGGGGTTAGCCTTCTCACAGGGTGCCATCTTCCCTGGAAGAAGTCATATGAAGACTTGTCTTGGGAGGCACTGATGCTTTAGGAAGGTTTCTCTCCCCCCAACACCCCCTCCCCTAACACAAACATTTCTTTATTAGGAATATGAGCAGTCAGATCTCTGCCTTACTACACATAAACACAGTATTTTATCTGTATTATCTGCCCTCCCTTAACATATCTGCATTACGTTGATGTTTACAAACCATGCAACATCATACTGATTATGTCACAAAGAATTCAAGAAGAGGCCCACTCATGGCCCATTCACCCAGGAGAGCATGATGGAGAACTTCCCTGGGCACTTGGACCAACCATCACCAGCACATTTCTCTGTGATTGCGCCAGAACACATCACCACGTCTCCAGCCACCTCATCAGCACAGGAACTCCACCTCCTCCCTCCTGAGGACAGGAGACAAATCGTGGTCATCTCCACTTCCTCCAGACATGCAGACATAGGGATGCTGTCCACAACCTGTCTCCATCCACTCAGGAAAAGAGGAGACAGAGCCTTGGCATTGGTTTTGAGCAGTAGCCAAGCCTACCTCAGTGTCAAAGGCCTGGATGAGGATCTAACTTTTGACCACGTGCTGGAGGATTGTGCATTTGTGTGCCTGGGAATCTGTTTCATGAGAGCTGGAAATCCCTGGCCAATGCATTGGGGGGGGAGGGGGAAGGTGGAGGGATTGATCTTGGTCACCTTTCTGCTCACAGGGGAAAGGATAGTCTGTGATGGGAGGACTCTGCTTGTCCTTTACCAGACTGACTGCCATGTGTGGCCCTGCCCACTGTCCTGGGGCAGGACGTGCCCGCCCTGTGAAGATAAGGTCCCGTGTCCCCATGCAGGGTGACAGCATTGAGATCATTTTTCAGGGTGCAGGAATAAGCCGAAGCCCACTGGGAAAGAGAGGCTACGAGAAAAAAATGAGAAACTCAACCCAGCAAAACCAAAGCTATTTTTTTTCCCCATGGGCTCTCAACAGCTGTTTAGCTCGCTGGATTTTGACAGTAAGAAAGTTCCCAAATTTAGAACAGTGAAATGTCAGAGCCAGTGGGATCACAGCAGTGAACCCTCTCTACTGCCAAGCGATGTGACTTTGGTAACTCAACGTGAAGGTCGCCCTGCACATGGTGTCCCCCAACAGGATGCCCTGTACAGGGTGCTTGCCCGCCATCCTGAGTGGGCCCCCAGTACCCCTAGACTGAGGAAGGCACCCACTTTTGAAAAGTAAACACATTGCAACTAGAGGGGTCTTTAGGGCTTGTTCTTTGAGCAGGGCAGAGCAAACAAGTGGTCTGATAAAAAAAAAAAGCTAGCTTTATAATGTATATTTTACTATTTTTTTTTAAGCTAGCTTCTTAGCAGCAGATGATGAAATGGAAAGGATGTCAATCATCCCCTGGCCAGGGTCCCTGTGTCACCTCCTCACACCCACCGTCTCCACACTCACTCTGCTATGGCAGACTCTCCTGTCAGCCCCACCTCAGAGGACAAGTGACTGCTGTTCTCTCTGCCCTGTGTCACAACCAGCAGGGCCATGAAAGGGACTTTGGCAACTTCAGGGCCACCTGTGTTTCTTCCCAAGGCACTTCTCCAAATGTGCGAACCTCACAGAAGCCCTCCCCACAAAAAACCACCTCATTTGGTTGCTCAGATGTCCTTTCTTCCTGTGTCTCCTGCTTGAGGGAGCCCCCATTTAGAGCTGTGGCATGTTCCAGCAGGAAAGAGGAAATGTTGGGCACCGTGGCCGCAGGGAACTCAGCCACCCTTTGCTGAGGAACTTTGCATGAGAATGTCAAAGCTTCATTAGCCTGATGGCTGGGAGTGGCTGCAGGGATGGGCTGGATCCCTTGCTTCTGCTCCTTTATGCATCCTCAGCGTCCCTCCTGGCACTGCCCTCCACCTGTGCTGTTGTCATCCCCAGGGAAAAACCATAATGCATGAGGGACGGAGGGAAACGGGGAATGGATTACATGGATGCCAATGTGCCCTCAGCACTACAGCAGCCTGCCTGTCACAGGAACTCCTGTAGCAGTGGAGCACCTGGGGGTGCGGGCACCAATGCAGATTCACTAAGTGAGAATGTGCAGGTTGCAGCCTCACACTGGAAAACGCTTTTGAATAAGTGCCTGCAGTTGGCTGGTACCACCGTGCAAAGATGGCCCCAACCAGGTCTGCCCATCCTGGCCCACAGCCTTTCCTCCACTTTTCAGATAAAGGCAGTTCATGTAGGTTCCTCTCCTTAGCAATATCTGAAACGGTCCTTCGACTTTGGGATTTTGATAAAAATGATAAAATTCTTTAAGGAGAACAAAGACATTTACATGAGCTCTGAGTAGCATCTGTATGTACACCACAGCCTTTTAGAGCCCCTTTCAATGTGGTATCATAGTCCTTGATATGCATTTCCATCCAGCACTTAACGTGGAATATTGTTCGCAAATGCCTCTTGAGAAAGGCAGTGTGTGTGTGTGTGTGTGTGTGTGTGTGTGTGTGTGTGTAACTAGCAATGGGCCCGTCCATGGGAAATGCTCAACCAGTACCTCCTGAACTGGAAAAAAGACAGGCAGGAAGGCAGTTGGCTAACAGCAATTTGATTGTAAGATGGGCAAGTTAAGAAGGGCAGACATTTATGACTAAAAGGGACCTTGATAGTCCCCTAACTCAGTTACCCCGTCACTACTGCAAATCCCAAACAAGCAACGACCCTGCCTTATTCCATCCTGAGGCAGTTCTTGTTATAGGACACGTCCAGCTGCAACACATAGAGACCACTACATCCAGAAGGGGAGAGGGGGAAGCGATTGGCTCATGGTTACACAGCAATTAGCAGCAATGCTGAGAAATGGAAGAGAAACTGGTAACTCACTGCCAGACCCATTCAGTCCTCACCACAATCCTCTGGGGGATCCTGCCATGTTGACCCTTGCAGTTGAGGACCTGCAGCTGCGAGAGGCTGAGTGGCCCGCTCAGAGTTGTAGCTGATAGGTGGTCGGTCTGGGATACTGTGACTGATAGATCTCATTCCATTTTCCAAAGCCCCAGCAATCCCTGGGTAAGATCCCAGGTTTCCTGCGACTGTAAATTCTTCTCACTGCCTAAGCCAACCTCACCAAAGAACCTGTTTCTCACCCCTCCCCCGCTCTTCTCGCTTTCCAGGAGAGAAGTATGAGCTCCATGCAGGGACTGAGTCCACCCCAAGCGTCGTCGTGCACGTGTGTGACAGTGACATAGAGGAAGAAGAGGATCCAAAGATTTCCCCAAAGCCAAAAATCATCCAAACCCGGCGCCCCGGCCTGCCACCCTCCATGTCCAACTGAGCTCACCGCTCCGCCTCGCCGATATGTCTCCTCTTTATCATGCTTTCTTTTCCCGGTTGTTTGTCGGAGAAAAAAAAATGCCTTTAAATCACTGGGTGTTTGGTTGTTTGAGATTCCTTCCTTGTAATCAAGCCTCTCAGACAAAAGGGCTAGGAAAGGTGATATGTTTCCTGATCATATCATGCCATCAAGTATAATCCATTATTTAGAAGGTTCTAGAAAATAAAGTAGTATTTTCTTATTAAACAATCAGCACAGCCTATATCTTCATTCTCTCGTGGTGATACAAGCCAGAGATATCAGTTACAAATAGCACCCGTGTTGTTTGTGAGCTGTTCCAGTCCCAGTCCTGATGTGTGCGTTGTGTATTCCCAGCCACTGGAGTAGGACCATAAGTAAACTTGAGTTTGACTGCATGAGATACCCCTATCTGGTCTCACTCAGTCCTCTGCATCCCGACATTCCCAGGACATGCATGATCACCAGCATTTATTTTCATAATTTGAGAATCTACTATTAACTCACAGGTTGCTAGCAGCCAGCCATGTCCTATCTAGAGTAGTACAATTATCAGCATCGTCCAGCTCAGCAAGTCTGGGTATAGTCACTGTTTTGAGTCAATACTTCATGGCTCTGTTAAAATTCCTGGAAGCAAAACTGAGTTTGGCCCCAAAGAGATTCCTGAGTAGATTTTGAACTTCCATATAGACCTTTCCCAGCCTCTGCGGGGAAGCTTGTCCAGGGGGATAGAGACCGATTTCAGACAAAACTATTTATTACAAAAGTTTCATGGTATCTGAACGATTGTTTTTCCTCTTTGTATATTTGTACAAATGTTTCAGCTGTGCTTTTAAAATCTGGATGTTTTTTATTTAGTGATTGTTCAGCCATTTGCTGCTTTAAGACCTAATATGTGCATTGCTTATGAATGCATTCATAGACTAATACAGATAACCAGATAATATTACACTCTATTATGGAGAATGCTGAATTTTGAAAGGGCACAAAACTTCTCATGCCCATGTATAAACAATCAGCCAACATCTTTGCTATCAAGACCACTTGTTTTTAAATAAAGTGAAGATGCTAATGTCAATTGTAGACAATTTGGAGGAAGCTAAGTCTCCAGAATGTAGCACCTGCTGAACATATTCAAAGGCGAAGGATGATAAAGGTATGCCGATCCTACTCATGCAATGCCCATATTGCTCAAACAATTACTTGTTTTTGTTACATGTGATTTTTCTATTTCTCTAGCCCAAAGTGCATTACAGAAGATACACCTATAGAACCATTTCCTTCTGCTGTATGTGCCAGGCCTCATCTATTCCTGTACATTAATGAATTACTTTTGATGCAAATGCCAATTGTGATGGACTGGGGGAAATACTTTCAGTACCCAAGCCTCAGAAACACACACAAGAACAATAACTCAGCCAACTGCTAGAAGGGTTGTTGTGGTTTTTGACTAAGGTGTATGTTAGTTTTATCATAGACTGATCACTCAGAAATTCTAGTCCGTTCTACTGTGAATATAGCAATATAAGTACTGGACACAGGATGGATGAAAGTGAGGACAGCATTGCTGTAAAGTCCTGAGTTTCCATAAGAAAAAAAAAATGAAGGCTCCTCTTAAAAATAAAACCTGAGGAGTGTATAAATAAGTGCTTTGACTTTCCTTTGCTGTGGAAATTTTTGGTTTTTCATTAAATGAGAGATTAGACTGAATAGTGAAGAAATGCTGCCCTCTGGTGGGAGAAATAGAAATTTTAGCCTCGGCCATTTTGTGCTGAATCTTCTGTCATCTGTGGGTTGTTTGACTTTTTATGCTACTCAGAATTTCCAGAATGCAGGTTCTAAAGAAATCTGGGTGAGAGAACATATTTGGAAATGAATTTTAAGTTAAAAAACAGATACATCAGACATTTCCAACCAAATTCAATATAAGTTGAAATGACTGGTCTGTGTAGTTATGAAATAAAAGCTCAGTGGAGTGTATGACCTAAATGGTCAATCTTGGTGAACTTTATTGCAAAGTGCCCATGTGAATCTGTCTCAGATCAAGTAATTCCTTCCTGAGATTGGGTTTGAGGAGGGGGCAGCGTGGAAGCTCCCAGCACTGTGAAAGTCAGAATTGCCTCAGCATTTCCATGACTCACATTATGCAAACCTCTTTCGCACTATTTTAAGTTTGAAATGTTTAAATATGGAGCGGGAGGGAGAGATTTCCACCAACTGAATCATTTGTGCACGTGTATAGCTCAAAGAGCTTAGACTTCAAATATACCTGGTGAATGACTCTGGGTCCTTGTGGTGTACTTTCTTTGTGGTCCGCCTGTGCTGACTATTTCTGAGTGGTGATTGTGGGCGAGTGCAATTCAGCCTATAGTCTAAGTAGTTACCAAGAGATGAGATGAATGCATCTACGTTTTCCTCATAGGATCAGAGGGTGAGGCTGAGCCATCTCATGAAGGAGGAGGAATTTTAGCAAGGCCTGGAAGGATGGGATGGGTTGGCCTCTGCTGTGGGCAAGTGGGAGAGCCCCATTTTATTGTCATTATTCTACTTTCTTGGTCCTAAATGTCATTTCAGGTATACTAGGACTCTCCTTTAACAGTTACCCCACTCAATTCTTTCATGTAAGACACTATAGGAGACCCAAAGTGAGCAAAATCTGTCACATACAACACAAAAAGCACTTCCATTTAAAAAATGATGAGGACATTGTACTTCTTTAAAATTAACAGCATCTGTTCATCAAATTACACCATCATGAGAGTGAAAAGGAAAGCCACAGACTGGGAGAAGATATTTGTAATACATATAGTTGTTAAATAACTCATACCCAAAATGTTAGAGGAAAAAAGTTCTATAGATTAGTAAGAAAAAGATAGGCAATTCATTTTATTATTTTATTTTTTTATTTTTTTTACAAATGGTCAAAATACTTAGTCACTTCACATATACTGGCAGTTTATGCATACAGACTGATACCTGAAATAACTCTATGGGCCATAAATATTATAAAGTGTTCAACATCATTTCTCGTCAGAGAAAGGCAAATCTCCAAGGGGTACACTTCACACCTATCAGAAAGGCCTACATATGTAGGAGGATGGGGAAATACAAAGTGATGCTATGGAGCAAGGCGGAGCCTAGCGGGCACCACCACCTCGAACACTGGCGTATCTACTAAAGCTGAGTCATTCCACTCCGGACTTACAGTCAGCAGACATGAGTCTCACAGCTACCAAAGTACTTGTACAGTAATATCCACCATAGCCTTGCTTATGATAGCCATCTGCTGGATGCAGCCCACATGTCCTTCAACTGCAGAATGGATAACTAAGCAGTGGTGCATTCATTCACACAAAGGAGTATAACAAAGCAAGAAAAACCCAAAAACCCACAAATTATTGAGACATATCATCCTTTTGAGCCAAAAAAGAAAAGAGAGACACGTGAAAAACTATATGATGTATATATGACTCCAATTATGATGTTAAGAAACAAGACAACGCTGGCCTATATTGATAGAAATTATAGTGAATACTTTTTGGAGATGTTGACTGAGAGGAGACACTTGGAGTTTCTGGGTGCTATAAACATCCTGCATCTCTATCTTGATCTCTGTGGAGGTATATATGTGTGTAAAATTCATTTAAAATGTGGGCAATGTTTTATGTAAATTATACCTCAACTGAAACAAAACCACTATGAGAACAGGAGGGAGGAGCCATTCACTGCAAAAACAATTTGGGATGTCCCCTCATCCCAAAAATACATCTATCTTATGTCTGTGAGATACTTCCATCCATACAAAGCCTTCCTTTAAAATCTATAAATAGGTACTTTACAACACAGAAAGCATAGGACTTCAGCCCTGGATGAGGCGCTGATCATTCCAATGACAAATATTTACCAAGGACCTACCGTGTGCCCGACACTGGGTTTCCAGTGGTGAACAGGTGGGTATTATAGTTCCTGATGTTTCAAATAGTAGAATTGGATGTGGGAAAGACACTGTAAACAAAGAAATAAGCAAGTAAATAACTATAAATTCTGGTAGGTGAGCACAGTGAAGAAGAGCAAGAACACGCTGTGAGAAAAGGGAAGAAACTGAAGGGTCACAGTCAGGGAAAGCCTCTCTGAAGAGGTGACATTGAAACTGAACTGAAGAAAGAACCAGCCAATGAAGAGCATTCCAAGCAGCAAGGTGATGGCCATGGATTTGGAAAGGCCTTCTCATGTTGGAGGAACCTACTGGGTGGCATCCATATGGCAACAATGCAGAGAATGAGGGCTTGCCTCTGAATGAGACTGGGAAAGGGTCTGGCACTCTAACTTGTGGACCAAGCGAGGGGGCTTTTCATTCATTGTAAGCACAATGAGAAGAGTTTCAGCCAGAGAATGAGATGGCTCAATTCATTGTGAGACATCCTAGTCTCATAGAAATTTCCTAACACAAAGCCACAGTTCTGGATGTCCAAAGAGTCTAGTGTGTGGGCTCGACCCCCTACTGCCCACTTTAGGTTTGAAAAGAGAACTTGGACTAGCTGGGTTCATCGCTGCAGTCTTATCTACCAATCAGATTCTCAGCTGCCAAGGTCAATGTGCAGGGCTGTTCATGGTTCTAGGAAAGTTTGCTTCTTTTTTCTGTTCCTCCCCAGGTCATTTAGAAGGCCTTGGCACAAGCAAGGGGGGAACAGAGCAGGTGATTAAGAATGATAAGTCAGTGATTCAGGAAAACATTCATTTAGCTGCTGGTACAGTGCGTCCCTGCCAGAGCCACCATGCAGAGCAGCATTGAACACTTGGCAGACTTCCCCTTAAATTTATGCAACGTGAGGAAGGGAAAATTTCAAGCAAAAAGTTTTCTGTCAAACCCATTCATCTGCTCCTTTCAGAGATAGTCTGGGGAAATGTGCTTGGAGTTGATTCAGGAGATTTGGTGTCTCTAAAGGGAAGACATATGCAAGGGTGTGTGTGTGTGTGTGTGT